TCCTGTCGTCCGCACTGCATATACATGTACATACACAATTCTGCTAGTTTTTATTTTTATTTTGTTGTATTCAGGTGATGTATCTTTTAGTGAAGATATAGAAAAGACAAAGCAAGTTTCTGATGGAAAGGTACTGGAAGGTGAGTAATAATTTACAGTAGTAACTGCTCATTCAAATCAAGTAGTTCAGATATTTGCTCATGCACAGTAAATTATGTATAAAACGTTCTTATGACCTACACTCATTGATGGGTTATCAGAACTAGTCAACTTGAATAAGTGGCTGCCTTATTAAGGTAATGTATAAATAACTTATACAAACAGTATGATTTCTTGAGTGATCTTTTCCTGTCAAGTGCCCGAAATAGGGATATATATATTTTTATATTCTATTAAGGACAATCTTATTACTGTCATATGGAAGCATGTGTTCCGGTAGTCTTATTAATTAGTCAAGCTACGAAAGAAAAGACCAACACCAGTGTAAAATATAATATCCAGGGCTGAGGATTTGGATCAGTTTGATGCTAAATGCCTCGGTCAAATTTGTTTTACTACTTGATATATAAATGTTAAGAATTGGGTTTGGTATTTTATGTATAATATTAAATATGCAGAAAAAATAATTGATCCTCCACTAGTTTAACAATAAAACTAGAATGTGAATTTCAAAAGTGATCACCCATTGCATATATTGGAGAATGCATCACGCATTACTCTACATGAGAAATCATACGTACAATATTTGCTTTTTAACAGAAGAGGTATCCCTTCCATGTGTTCCAACAAAAGTTAATGCAGCGCCAGAACAGATAAGAGGGGAGAGTAAAAGAATAGAGGACAGGAGTAGTGTGGGTGTTAGCAGGGAGACGCACGCTATTGTAGATGTAGTTCAGGAAGCAGGGACTGGTCCAAATCTAGGAGTGTAGATAGGTATACACTTCGTGGTAGTTCGGGACACCAGGACCGGTCAAAATCTAGAAGTGTAGAAGATAGATTCCAGTGCTTAGCTCAGGGTGGAGGGACATGTCAAAGTCTAGGAGTATAGGAAGGGATATAGTGCATAGTGGTGGTTCAGGGCGGAGGGATAGGTCAAAGTCTGGGAGTATAGGAAGAGATAGAGTGCATAGTGGTCATTCAGGGCGCAGGGACAGGTCAAAGTCTAGGAGTATAGAAAGGGATATAGTGCATAGTGGTGGGTGGTTGGTGGGGTGGTGGGTGGCGCCCTGGCGCAGGGACAGGTCAAAGTCTAGGAGTATAGGAAGGGATATAGTGCATAGTGGTCGTTCAGGGCGCAGGACAGGGTCAAAGTCTAGGAGTATACATGTAGGAAGGGATAGATCGCATAGTGGTGGTTCAGAGCGCGACAGTGTATATAGATTTATAACACCTAGACGCAGGGAGACTCAGAGAAGTTTAGATAGTTTTTTAACATTTAGTGGCTCAGGATGCAGAAACAGCAGTGTAGATAGGGTTAGAACCCCTGCTAGTTCAACCTCACATGCAGGACAAAGAGGGAGGACTATTAGAGGATAGGTGTAGCAAGTCAGGGATTGGAGGGGAGACTCCTGCTCGAAAAAGGTCCAGAGCGGCATCTGAAAGTTCACGGCCTTCAACAAAAAGATTTTGCTCTGCTGACGACAGATACCCCAGCTCTTTCAGAAGCGAGTAAGTAGCATGCATACCTCAAATTCTCTTCGAATAACCCCAGAATAATGGTATCAGAGAGAGAGCCACAATTTCAATTGCCGAGTGTGTTGAGTAAGCAAATTCTTGATTATATTTTTCACATAGCTGAAATCTGAATATGAAAATTGAAATTTTTTTATTCAATAACATCCGAAACACCGTTTTGAGACTTGTACCTTGTTTGTTTTGAGTTCTAACCTTTCCACCGCAAATATTAACATACTCGAGAGAAAAAAAACAGTTGAAAAGGTGTATCTTTGTATATCCATGAATCTTGGCTCAATTGCAAAAAATTGTTTTGTATATTCTAGTAAATAGTAAATTTGTTATCATTTAAGCAGAATATGCATGTAATATATATATATATATATCTTTTGTTCTTCAGAATTCCAGAAAGGTGTGATCAAGCTGCTGCTTTCCATCAGGGACACCATGCTGCTGGACATTGCCCTGATGGTCAGCACCCCACCAACCCCTGTCAACACGGAGGAGGAGTTTGACATACTAGAGGAAAGGTTGGACGATGAGATGGAAAGATCAACCCTAGTAAGTCTTAAAGGATTAACGATCATGTACATGTAATATCTTGGATTTAAATAAACAGAAAGGAGGGTGTATTTTGTATTTATGTATCAAGTAATTCAGACTCTCCAATATTGTATTAGGATTTACATTTATATTTATTTAATGTGAATAGATGCTTTGTACTTTGTTGTACTTTTAGTAGTTGCATGTATTTAATCATAAAACTGATAGTTGTTGAGAACAAAATGGTCTAAACTACTTCTTGATATCAACAGTGTTGTTAAGATTTTTATGCAAGCAATCTTGTCATTTCAGAAAAGGTATTTCAGAAGGCTTGGGGGAGTGGATGCAACAGACATGATAAAAAAGTCCATGTCTGTGTAAGTACAGTCTAACCTGCCTGAGTGACCATCTGAATTTAGCGACTTCCTGTCTTATCTGACCTTGATTTTTCCTCCCAAAGCATTTCACTATATATATTATACCTCAATTAAACGACCCTCTGTCTTATCCGACAAGATCGAGACCTATCATTTGTGTCCGTACTGAACTTAAACACTGTTTGAAGCTTTAAATTTAATTTAATTAAATTAAATTATTTTACCAAATTATTTGCATTTAGTGGTATCTATTTAAAACATTTTAAACATGTACTCTGTCTGCCTATCTTCATCTGTCTTTCTGTCTGTATATCTATTGATTCACACATATCTATCTATCTATCTATCTATATATGTCTATTTTCAGCTCCCTGAGTAATAAGATTATGGCAAGATGAACTGAAGGAAAGTGCGCAAAAATAGCTTTCGCCAAATCGCGGCTGTGTAAAATCATCTGTGGTAAGTGTCATCAGAGAGTATGGGTGGATAAATAATTCTTCAAATGCTACGCTTTTGCTTGTTACAATGTTAGCTCGCCGGGACGGAGTCCTGGAGAGCTAATGCTATACCCCCGGTGTCGTCGTCTGTGGACAGTTGATTAAAGTTTTCAGTTGGTGCAACTTGCAAAGTTTTGAACCTATTCATACTTGAACATAGCTTCCTTGCATGGGCATTTGTCTACCCCACCAACATGCTTACATCATGTGATTTGACCTTGGAAGGGGTCACACGTGAAGAAAACTTTAATCAAACTTAGAAAAACTTTAATACTGCCCATAACTCACAATGTTTTGGAATTTTTATGTGCATGTATATACTGATTGATGCCGTTTATAAATTGTTATATCCCCGCAGCAAGCTACGTTGTCTTCTAACAACTCTTGTTTACTTTTTTCCTCATACATGTATGAAGTAAATGAATTACGTGTATTATTTGACTTGCATTAGGAAGGTATTATACTGTTTTTATATGCAAGTTCCACTGGATGAAGGTCTGAACTTGTTTATAATCAGCTTGCAAACCAGTCATATTAATCATATTAATATAGTATAATTTAAATATTTTTTGTTTTGTGTTTGTCTTTTTAAATTTTATTTTAGTTACCATGTCATTTTGAAATCAAAGGCTTCAAAACATATTTCTCTTATGTTTTCCAGAGATTGTCATCGACTGCCACAGAAATACCAATGAATCCAGAATCATGGTGACATGGCGAAGTATCTGAAGTGCGCCCCGGAACGTCTGGGTGGTGGGGGTCGAAGAAAGAGATAGTAAACAAACGAATTAATTGGAAGAAATTTTTTTTAAATAATTAAAGGAATTATGACTGAACAAATTGTGTTTTTTTTATTTGAAGCTGTCTGAATCCTGCAGTCTGACTTAAGCCAACGCCACTCCTAGCTGGCGATCGATAGAAATGGCCTACCTCCACTGTCCGGCCATGGCCTTCTCGGTCATCATACATATGTATTCTACACTTTCAGGATCCTAACTGCCAATTCAATCTACTGTTTAATAGATCTGTAGTGCACTTCTCTCTCTGTGTAATAACGTAATAATATGATTTATACAACATTCAATGAGGAGTGCTGTGATGAGGAGTGGATGCAACATTGAAACAACGTTGACTAAGGTTGAGTAACCTTTTGGATTTGCAAATACGGTAATCAAGGACGGTAATTCTTGAAACGTCGTAATTCACGTTGAAACAAGGTCGGTGATGCGCGACGTTGAAACAACGTCATGATTTCAACGGTGAAACAACGTCGGTATTTCAATGTTTGAACCAACATCGGTATTTCAACTGTGAATCAACGTCGTATTTCAACGGTGAAACAACGTCGGTATTTCAACGTTGAACCAACGTCGGTATTTCAACTGTGAAACAACGTCGGTATTTCAACGGTGAAACAACGTCGGTATTTCAACGGTGAAACAACGTCGTTATTTTAACGTTGAACCAACGTCGGTATATCAACGTTGATTATATTTTCAAATCCGACAGGTAATCCAACGATAATTCAACGTTGAGGTTCAACGTTAATTCAACGTTGAAACAATGTTGAAATGCCAGCTGGGTCCTATCCATGAAGTACCTCTAGTTGTCGAGGTACGTTGCGTTGTTTGCCATGCAGAAGATCTCCAGTGTCCTGTTCAGCGACATTATCTTCTGGTTCAGGTGGTTACGGTTCGGCTTGAAGCAGGTTAGCAGTCCCGATATGATGAGTTTTCCTTTGGTTTTTTCACTTGCACTCCTTGCTAATTGCAGAAGCCTTGTCTAGCTTCTTCTAATTTCTTATTTAAAGCATCATTTACCCAACATGCATAATTACTGTTCCCGAACTATTTCCCGACTAACTACTCTGTCTAGCCTTTCTTCTATATCCTGTGCCCCAGCCCCTCCAAATGTTAATACACACCTATCCCTCCTTTCTCCATTGTTACTTACTGTCTTTACTGTCTGTCTGACTATTGAGTCGCCCAAAATTAATATTTTTCCACGTTGGTTTCTACTGCTGTCTTCACTGAAGGCCAAGACACACTGGCAGCGACCACAGCCTCAGGCACTTGAAGCGTTTCAATAAAATATATGCTAACTAAATACGAAATCTATTTACTACCAAATTCTTAATGTTTCTATACTCTAGCTCTTTCACCTATTATTGCCGACATGCAGTTTCCTGTAAATTCCGTCCAAATCCTACGTCCACCATATACATTGCCGCGCCATTGCTCTCGCGGCGTGCACTGTTGCATGCTTACACTAATATATATAACAGGTAGAGAAGCGCGATCGCAAAATTCGCTCGACGCTCGCTGGATTTCACACTTTCACAGCACCAATACACATCCAACAGCTTTCATCTTGTTTCTCTTTCAACAACTACAACTTCAACTACGTGTTCACTTGTTATAAAAACATACTGTCTCTGTCGTAACCGAGCTGTGTCACGCGAATCACACAAAGACTGACGAAATTCTCGCGTTCGCGAACCTTGACTAAAGACAAAATCTGGTAGTAAAAATTATTCTGAACCTCTCACCCATCCCCAAATCCCTGTATGTTATTTGCTTCGTAATATAATGCTTATCAGGGTTCTCCTCAGGATGAAATTGAAACAGGGGGAGGGGGGAGGGGAGGGGGAGGAGGAGGGGGAGGGGGAGGGAAAACTAGGGGGTCCGGGGCCTGTCGAGTCACTGGCAGCAAGAACAAGTCCGCACCTGCAGCTACAACACACACGCATCTATTGACTATATATAACAACATATATATAGTTATATATAACTACTGTAGCAACTATAGCTACTATAACAACTATAACTACTATACAACTATATATAACGTTGTTATATATAGTCAATAGATGGCGTGTGTGCTGTAGCTGCAGGTGCGGACTTGTTCTGCTGCCAGTGGGTCGAATGGGTATTCTTGCGAGGTGGCCCCTCAATTGCCAGTAGCAGCAGTGCCTCCAAAGCTGACTCACTCGGCCTGTTCCTCATGTAGCCATTCCCATTAAAAAATATTTTTTTTTTAAACGGGGCGGAAATAATTTAAACGTGGCGCAACGATTGAAACGGGGAGGTGGCGGGAGTTTCCCCAAACGGGGCGGGCGCTCCCCGTTTGCGCAACGTAGGGAGAAGCCTGCTTATATTGATATGCTTATGTCTGTATAGGTCAGAATGGGAGAAGATGCTAGCAAAGGTCAAGTGCTCCATTGTCAACAGTAGCCACCATGAGATGGTTGACTCCTATGTACTCAGGTAACATTTATGCATGTCAGTCAGTCAGGCATTACAGTACAAGCTGATCATAGTCTTGCAAAGCTTTTGAAAAGCTGATTTCCAATACTGTTATACATTGTTTAATAAGGCATACTCTTGCATTAGTTCCATTTTCACCTTCACGGTGACACCATGAGTTCCACACACACGTATATATATATATACATATACATATATATACATATATATATATATATAAGCCAGGGGCCGGTTTCACGAAGCGTACTTAACTTAAGTATGATTAAATCACTAATCATATTTAACTTCCCGTAATTATGATTAGTTAATCATACTCAAAATCTGTTTCACGAAGCGATTTAAGTACATATTTAACTAATCACATAATTAGCCGACATCAACATGAATAGACTGGTACTCGCTCCCTCTCGGCTTAGTTACTCGATGGGAATCGAGTAATCGAGGTGGGAGCGAGTACCAGTCTAAACAAATTACACGGTATTCAATATGGCGGACCAATACGCCAAAAATATCTTCAAGTTCGGTACATGAAAGGAATTAATTTGTAACTATAATGATTGAAGTAGTACAGCAAATCTTAGATAATTTAAATTTCCTTGGGAAAAATTGAAGTAAAATTTCCAATTGGAAAATCTGCAACGTACCTAATATACTAGTACTACCTACTTCTAAGTTCTAGTACTAGCAACTAATTATGATTAGTGGATTTAATCATGCTCCTGAGTAGAATTAAATATTGTGATTAACTTAATCATGATTAAAGTTAATTACGCTTCGTGAAACAGTCACTTTAATTTAAGTACGAGAAGTTAATCATGATTAATGATTTAATCACGATTCAATACTTAAGTACGCTTCGTGAAACCGGCCCCTGATCGAAAGTCCTGCCGCCATCTTGAAACATCATCAGGTAAAAGGACAAGGTGGATAAACAAATGCTGCTGGAAGCGGGGGCTTAGTACCACTAGTACTACTACGGTCCAGCGACAGGGACAAAGTAAGAACTTGCTGCCAGGGCATATATAGCAAATGACTTGAAACTATGTATTCTACCTCCCTCTGAAGAAGTTTCCAAACAGAAGGATGGGCATATTAAAAAGCTTCTAAAGACCGGGTGATGGTGATATGCCCCATCCTGACTAATCACCAGCATCTACTGTATCAGCATGAACAAGCTTATCCTTCTGCCGAGTAGAATGCTTAGAACTTTGAAAACACAGTTTCGTTTTTGCATATGATGGACAAGGTGGGGGGAACATGTTTCACCCGTGTTTTATAGGTAGTTGACACAACTTCAGAAGATCTAAGAGTAGCCTAAGACGGAGAGCTCACTTGGCTTGTGGGGTGTTGAATCCTTCATCTTCATCACAACCACCAGAACGGAAATCGACACTTGCACTTGTATTGGCTCTTTTCGATAGTACAGAAATGCGTTTTTTTAGCTCGTCCCACATTGGTTTTGTATGTAAATCGTGAATAACATTCATGAGCGATGATAACCGTATGACAAGTTAACATCACTGAACTGGACTAACCACACTCCACAGGTCATGAAGTTTATCTGCCACTCGTTTTTCCTCCCCATGAAGATCTATCTATGCTAGTGCACACTCGCAAACCTTCTCCCAGATTTTCTGAGAAAAAGAATTGACACTGGAGTGTTGACACTGGCTGCAGAGATAAATTAAACAAATTGACGATGTACTAGAATGTTGTTCATGCATAGCAGCCATTATGTCATTTGTAGTAGGACCGGGGAGAGGACGAGCGGAGAATCTGATTGGTCGAGACAACTCACGCTTTTACTAGATTTGTCAAAACAATTCACAATTTTACTAGATTCAGAGGCATAATTGAGCTATCCTTTCAAGGTGCCAATAAATGGATTCGTGTTCTGTGATCTTTAGAGTATATATATCCGTTGAAATTAAGTACTCCCTTGATTAAAGGTCACAGGCAAAGTGGAATTTAACGCATTAATGACGTAACAATTACTTACATGTGTTTATAATTGGTGGTTACTCTGCCTCAACAGTTGATTAAAACATAATAAAACATTATTTTAAGTTTAACTTTCGACCTTGTGAATTCCACTGGAGCTTCGTGTGCTTCCGTGAGAAATCCGAATTTAAACAGGATATGACGTCAGGAATGACATTCCGGTTGACTTTCCTACTGCTTTACAGTACAATCGCCGTGTTGAAAATGGTATACTGTTGTGCTGTAGGGTGTCGTAATGGGTCTGGGGCAGGAAAAGAAGCAAAGAGTTTTCACAGATTGCCAACAGAAAATAAAATAAAGGATGTCTGGCTTGCAAAAATCAGCAGAAAGGGCTGGGTGCCCACGAAACACACGAGGCTATGTGGGGACCATTTCGCACCAGAGTGCTTTTTTGTGCCACACAATATAGCAGCTTGTGTTGGATGGCAAGGTCGAAGCAGCAAGCTAAAACCTGATGCCNAGGGGAGGACTATTAGAGGATAGGTGTAGCAAGTCAGGGATTGGAGGGGAGACTCCTGCTCGAAAAAGGTCCAGAGCGGCATCTGAAAGTTCACGGCCTTCAACAAAAAGATTTTGCTCTGCTGACGACAGATACCCTCTTCCAGAAGCGAGTAAGTAGCATGCATACCTCAAATTCTCCTCGAATAACCCCAGAATTGGTATCAGAGAGAGAGCCACAATTTCAATTGCCTGTGTATGTGCCGAGTGTGTTGAGTAAGCAAATTCTTGATTATATTTTTCACATAACTGAAATCCGAATATGAAAATGGAAAAATTTTTATTCGTGCAATAACATCCGAAACACCGTTTTGAGACTTGTCCCTTGTTTGTTTTGAGTTCTAACCTTTCCACCGCAAATATTAACATACTCGAGAAAAAAAAACAGTTGAAATTAAAATGTGTATCTTTATAATATATCCATGAATCTTGGTTCAATTGCAACAAAATTGTTTTGTATATTCTAGTAAATAGTAAATTTGTTATAATTTAAGCAGAATATACATGTAATATATATATATATATCTTTTGTTCTTCAGAATTCCAGAAAGGTGTGATCAAGCTGCTGCTTTCCATCAGGGACACCATGCTGCTGGCCATTGCCCCTGATGGATCATCAACCCCACCAACCCCTGTCGACACAGTGGAGGAGTTTGACATACTAGAGGAAAGGTTGGCCGGACGATGAGATGGAAAGAGCAACCCTAGTAAGTCTTAAAGGATGAACGATCATGTACATGTAATATCTTGGATTTGAATAAACAGAAAAGAGGGTGTATTGGTATTTATGTATCAAGTAAGTCAGACTCTCCAATATTAATTGTATTACGATTTACATTTATATTTATTTAATGTGAATAGATGCTTTGTACTTTTTTGTAATTTTAGTAGTTGCATGTATTTAATCATAAAACTGATAGTTGTTGAGAACAAAATGGTCTAAACTAGCTACTTCTTGATATCACAGTGTTGTTAAGATTTTTATGAAAGTAATCTTGTCATTTCAGAAAAGGGATTTCAGAAGGCTTGGGGGAGTGGATGCAACAGACATGAGAAAAAAGTCCATGTCTGCCTAAGTACAGTCTAACCTGCCTGAGTGCATGACCCTCTGAATTTAACGACTTCCTGTCTTACCTGACCTTGATTTTTCCTCCCAAAGCATTTCACTATATATTATACTTCAATTAAATGACCCTCTGTCTTATCCGACAAGCGATCTATCATTTTGTGTCCGTACTGAACTTAAACACTGTTTTAAGCTTTAAATTTTATTAAATTAAATAAAATAATTTTACCAAATTTGCATTTAGTGGTATCTATTTAAAACATTTTAAACATGTACTTTGTCTGCCTATCTTCATCTGTCTTTCTGTCTGTATCTCTATTGATTCACATATAACTATCTATCTATCTATATATGTCTATTTTCAGCTCCCTGAGTAATAAGATTATGGCAAAGATGAATCTGAAGGAAAAGTGCGCAAAAATAGCTTTCGCCAAATCGCGGCTGTGTAAAACCATTTGTGGTAAGTGTCATCGGAGAGTATGGGTGGATAAATAATTCTTCAAATTGCTACGCTTTTGCTTGTTAGCTCGCCGGGACGGAGTCCTGGAGAGCTAATGCTATACCCCCGGTGTCGTCGTCTGTGGACAGTTGATTAAAGTTTTCAGTTGGTGCAACTTGCAAAGTTTTGAACCTATTCATACTTGGAACATAGCTTCCTTGCATGGGC